TTGTAGATTTTAATTACTCCCCTATAAATAATGACAAACACATGTAACATTTTTCAGCTTTAAATGTTTCACAAATATACAAATTAAATTAAAAAATTACTTCTTTACAGTAGCAGAAACTCAACTAATTATATATGTATAGCCTCTTTATTCTAACTTCCCTATTGGAATACAGGCTCTCTAAGGAGTGGAGCTTATCTTGTACAATTTTACATAATATGTAGCACCAGGCATTATACTAGCAAAAAGTGGCTGTTTGCTCACTCTATGTTAACCAAAAAAGTTTGATTTTAAACATTTATCATAGACTATTACAGTCTAAATCTCAAAATAGCTCTTTAATTAAAAGCCTACCTAAGTAGTAAATATAATAGTTATAATTCATTAACTCAGTTGTTTAATAGGCCAAAGTTAACTAGCCCATTTGAACAAATTATATTTCATTTACTTTGATTTTTACAAAGGTATTTAGGTGGATTTTGAATGACTTTTTTCCAATTTAGATTTAAAAGGCAATGTGGGATTATATAAGCATCAAATCAGTAACTAATACAGAAAAAATTCTAAGTGGTTTATACATTTTCACTCATTAAGAACATAATCACACAACCACTTAATTCATGTGTTATAAAAAGGGTCACTAAAAATTCCTTATTTAATCCATTACCTGAAATTAGATAACGGTTAAGATGAGCCATTTCTTTTTCCAAATTACTTCTTGATAAATCAGATTTTCTTATTAAAGCAATAGGTTCTCTCTTCTCTGGTGATCTAATAAAATAACCAAATGATGGCTACAAAACAAACATGTGAATTATTTCCTTAATTTTCAACTGCTTTGAGAAATTCTATACTACTTTATCTTAATATTAGTAACCTAGCTAAATGACTTCAACAAAGTAATTTTTTCTTTCCATTTAAACTTAAATGACTAGAGATGAACTTTAAAAGTCCAAATAGAACCTTTTATTTCCTTACTGTTAGCTATCTTTAATCATCAGAACTATTACTGTCAAGTAACTTGCCCTTTCTAAGAAATTAAAATGAAAACAACCCAGAAATGATATTTTCATTTGTTCCTTCAGCAATTATTACTGAATATCTACTATGTGTGTTTATAAACATCAGTGAAATATATATATATATATTCCTGCTGTCCTGGAATTTACAGTACATAATTTTATACAATAAATACAAAAATCTGTATGAAAATTAGGTATCTTCCTACTGACTTGGATGAAAGTTTCAAAAAGATTTATTATGCTCAGGGAGCTTGCTAAAGGGCAGGACATTCCCACTTGTCTTTTCTTACAGAACTTTCAAGTGACAGACTTAAAATGTGAATTCATTAAATGCACTCCATTTTCAGTTGATCGTCCCTTGATCCAGCAACTTAAATGCAAGTAACATTTCACAGCTAATACCAAAATAGAAATTCCAAATGATAGATCTATTTTTCCATGATCTAGTGCTTTATCTGTTCAGTAAGGAGTTACTCTTCAACTTTACTAACAATGTCAAAAATTCCCATTGATCCTGGCAGAAAAATCTACCTCTCTGAAGTATTAATTTTTTGGTTAATCCTCACCCAATGAGAATTTTCCACTAATTTTTTTTTATCCTCACCCGAGGACATTTTTCCATTTTTTTGTTCAGGTAGAGTGGGAGGGAGAGAGAGGAACAGAGAGAGAGAGAGAGAAACATCGATGTGAAAGGAACATATCGAGTGGCTGCCACCCGCACGACCAACCAGGGCCGGGGACAAACTGCAACCGAGGTACATGCCCTTAGCGGGAACGGAACCCGGGTCTCTCAGGACCGCAGGCCGACGCTCTAACCGCTGAGCCAAACCGGCCAGGGCTTTTTATTTTTTTTTAAGATAGAGTGAAAGGGAGGGAGGAGTAGAGAGAGAGAAGGGAAACATTGATGTGGGAGAGACACATCAATTGATTGCCTTCCGCATATCCCTGACCAGGGGCCGGGGGATCAAACCTGCAACCCAGGTACATGCCCTTGACCAGGAATCAAACCTGAGACCCTTTGATCCGAGGGTCAACACTCTAACCGCTGAACCAAACCAGCCAGGTCTAATGTTCATTTTTTAATTTACTGCACAGACAAGACCCACAGTACAGTTTCAAATTGAAGTTCTGTAAATCAACTGTGAATTCCAACACCATAGCTATTACTTTAAAATACACTCTTAATAAACACTGTCCTCCCTGACCAGTGTGGCTCAGTTGGTTAGAGCATTGACCTGTACACCAAAAGGTTTGATTCCTGGTCAGGGCAGATACCCAGGCTGGGGGTTCCATCCCCAGATGGGACACGTATGGGAGGCCACTGATGGATGTTTCTCTCTGATGTCGATGTTTCTCTCTCTAGCTCTCTCCTCGCTCTCTAAAATTAATAAAAAATTACATCCTCAGGTGAGGATTAAAATAATAATAATAAAACACTCTGTCCAATAACCCTAACTCCCTATATGGAATTTATCAACAAGTCCTTTGACTCTGTCTCCAAAAGAAATCTTGAGCCCTGGCCGGTTTGGCTCAGCAGTTATAGAGTGTCAGTCGGCAGACCAACGAGTCGGGTTCAATTACGGTCCAGGGCATGTACCTCCATTGCGATTTGTTCCCGGCTCTGGTTGGGGTCGTGCAGGAGGCAGCCACTCAATGTGTCCCTTTCACGTCAATGTTTCCCTCTCTCTCTCTCTCTCTTTCACTTCCTCTCCCTCCCTCCCACTCTATCTGAACAAAACTAGAAAAATGTCCTCGGGTGAGGATTTAAAAAAAAAATCTTGAGTCCCTGAATTTTTCTGCTTCTGTAGTATCATCCAAGCACCCAGCCTTCATCACATCACATCTCTTTCCATGTAGTAAGCCTCTCTGCCTGCTTCTACTCCTCCTCTGTGGTTCACTGACCTTCTCTACTCGGGCTCCTGACACATAAAGTAGCATCCTGTCACACTCAGAGATAGGCCCAGGCACCATAACGAAGTTGCTTCGTCTCCCAAGAACTTCTTCCCAGTTAATCTGAAATGGATCCAAATCCTACAAGGACCCTTCATAACCTGGCCCTTGTCTACTTCTACCATTTAACCTGTCATACCCTCCTCCACTCTCCCACCTCCCTATTTAGTTTCAAATTTAAGTTCTGTAAATTCACATTAGCTCTATTTCCCTGCTTTCTATTCCCCCAATATGCCACTCCAGCTCCTACCTCCTATATAAATGATCTCTGTTTACTGGGAATAACCTCCCTCCAGATTTTTTTTCTTTTTAATCCTCATCCGAGGATATTTTTGCATTTATCTTCAGATAGAGCAGGAGGGGGAAAGGGAGGGAGAGAGAGAAACATCCATGTGAGAGAGACATATGGTCGCCACCCACACGACCCCAACTGGGGTTGGGGACAAACTGCAACCGAGGTACATGCTCCTAGCGGGAATGGAACCTGGGACTCTCTAGTACACGGGCCGACACTCTAACCGCTGAGCCAAACCAGCCAGGGCTCCCTCCAGATCTTTTGATAACTGCCTCCTTCTCTCTCATCATTTAGGTCCCAGATGTCACCCTGACTACCACAGCTAAAGCAGCACCTTATCTTTACTCACTGTTCACAGAACATATCACTAAAACACTCCTATATTTCAAATATGTTTTTAGACAAAGGTTGAAAAAAGAATCTTTAAATTCTTCTCACCAGCCAATGACATAACCATAGTAACTAATGGGTATTGATATTATTCCATATTAGGTTTGATGCTAAATACTTTATATGCAACATCACATTTAGATTCTTATAAAACCCTATAAAATAGCATTCCATTTTAGAAATTGGAAAATTAAGGCATAGAGAAATTAAGTGAATTGTTCCTAGTTAAAAGGCAGAGCTAGGATTGTGTCAGGGTCTAATAGACTATTAAATCTAAGCTTTTATCCACTTATTCTAATGTGTCCCTATTCTGTTTCTACTTTAAAGATACTGTGTTCTAGGTATACCATCATAACATTCAAAATATATCAGCTAGTTAATTTAACCATTTCTAGAACATATCATACTTACTCTTTTCACACTGTTACCTCCACCAAGGCAACCAAGAGCTTCAGATCTTTGCGCAAAGAACTCTCCTAAAGATAGACGTAAGTAACTAGCATCATCTTTGTCCAAATCTGATGCACTAAATGATTTCCTCAACAGATTGTAATTCATTGAAGTTCCCCACAATGTATTCCCTAGTGTAACAGAAGTGTTCTGGGCATCTATATTTTCTTCCTAGGAAGAAAGTTATTGTGTCATTTTATCTTCCAAGCAGGCCTTCTCTCTGTTCTTCTCATATTCAAAAATAAAAAAGTTAAGAAAATTTAAACATTTACATTTTTTTAAATTTGGACAAATTCAAGCTTAAGCAGCTAATACAGGTAATGAAGTCCAGAAGAAGAAAACTTTCAGTTTTCATACCCAAGTTAAAATATACACTGTTATACTGCTTTTTATTAATATAAATCTTTAGAAAGGAGCATATTTTCAATAAAAACAAATAGTATTACCTCATTTTAAAATATGGTTAAAAAGGTGTAAATATCTTTGAAGACTCCTAAGATTATTTTAAGCAAATTAAGTATTATTTCAGTATGCCAGTTATTTTTCAATTAATAATTTAGAGTGTAAAGAAAAACAGAAATTTTCTAAATATGAGAAAAGATATGATTCAATACTAACTATATATCTATTGAGACTGATATAAAAATTTTGCTACAATTAATACTGGAAAAAAATTTAAACTTTGGTCAATGTAAATAAAATACAAACCTGCATAAATTGGTGCTCTTTATTAAATTCTTCTTCATCTTGTACAATCAATTCCAATGCCTCAGCTTAAAAAGAACAGGTGTATAAAATTATATTAAGGCCAATTAAATACTAGCATATAAATAAAACATAGCTACTTAGGAAAATGAAATACTAAAGAAATAAAAATTTAAAAAAGCATGCAAGTGCTTACTTTAGCAGCACATATACTAAAATTGGAACAATACAGAGATTAGCATGGCCCCTGTGCAAGGATAACAACAACAAAAAGTATGTGAAAGCTATTACACAACTGATGCATCTGCATTAAGTACAGTCTATGGTTCTCAAACTTTTGATTATAGATACCCTACTGTGATTGATTTAATCAGTTACCAATGTGCCCTAACTCACTAAAGGGCCTTTACAATCCAAGCTTTTTGTTTTTTAGACTTACATGAATTTTAGCTTTAAAGATGGGCATACATAAATTTTCACGCATGCTATTTCATTTGAAACCACTGGACTGACAAGCCATATTGTAAACTTGTCATCAAGATGTCTGCCAGATTGCCCAAACACCTGTTTGCCCATAACTGTCCCAGTTTTAGAAAGGAAAATCCCACAACCCAGCTAACCCCACAGCCTAAGCAAATAGGAACAAATGGTCACCTGGTATCTGTCTTCAAAGTTCCTATGAGCACCTTAGTTCAACTTAGGGAAATGAATGGGCCCTGAATCAACCTCTAAGCTAAGGCCACAAACTAAAATGCCTCAGAGGGTAGGGGTGAATGAGCGAAGAGGGCCAGGTGTAACATAACAGGGAATGGTGGGACAGTGGCAAACTAGAAAGCATATATTCCTGCTCAAGGCATTAGAATTTTAAAAAATTTAAGCATGTTGGCTACATCAGAAAAGTCTGTAGACTAGATTCTACACTGCCTGTCTATTGCCCACTCTAGACCTTTGCCTGGTACTTCAGAACAGCAGCAGAAAGGGGAAGAGTCGATAGCAACCAAGAAGGACAGTCCATTTGTGGCCCAAATGAAAGATATCTCCCACTCTCACTGGTCAACCAAGGGCTAATCCAATCCAAACTGCCCTTTGGGAAATCCTCACAGTCCAACATTAACATAGTGAGACAAAATGAGACTAGATACAGGAGAATATTTCCAGTTAGGAAAAGTAGAGCACCAGAGATAGATCAGGATTCTTACTTATTATAATAGTGCTGGTTCTTCACCTTTCTTTTATAGAAACACATTCTAACCTAGAAGTATGAATGAGAATCAGTAAAACCATGAAGCTCCTGAAATCACATGCTAAATAGTACCTTCCACATACAAAATTTTCCTATGAAGATTCTCTGTGGAGTCCCTAAGTTAAAAAACCAATGCCCTAGCCCGGGCTCAGTGGCTAAGCATCAACCTATGCACCAAGAAGTAGCTGGTTCGATCCCTGGTCAGAGCACATGCCCAGGTTGTGGGCCAAATCCCCAGTGAGGGGCATGCAGGAGGCAGCCAATCGATGTTCTCTCTCATCAATGTTTCTACCTCTCTCTTCCTCTCTCTCTCCCTCCCACTTTATCTGAAGATAAATGCAAAAATTTCCTCTGGTGAGAATAAAAAAATAAAATTGAATAAATAAAAATAAAAAGATACCCAGAAAACCTAGCTTATTTCAATGAATAAATAGCATGGTTGTAAAACATTAAGTATACAACTCCAACTGCTATTATTTTATTCCTAAGCACTTTTTTCTCTGAACTTTGAGTCTTCAGTTAAAAATCTATAGTAATGTTACCTTCTATGCTCATCAGAAATTAGTCACAAATTATAAGCAGAACTTCATTTTTTGAGTCTATGCCCAATTAATTGTTTGCCAAATCTAAAACAAGAGTCCTTTCAAATGTCACCTGAATGTTCTGTCAAATTTTGAAGCAGCCCTTATGTCCCTCTCCCCCATCCCCTACCCAATGTTTAAATCCAAGGCCATATATGGAAGTAATGTATTACCTCAGATATAGAGAATTGATGGAGAGAGCAGAAATGGGGAAGTAGAGTAGTATCTCAAGTAAATTTTCTAAAAAAGTTGTCATTTAAGATGACTTTGACATTATAAAAATTATGCCCTTGGTCCATTCTTCCTCTTCTGAATTATCTCCTCTTGCATTTTCAAACTCCCCTTCCTCTTTCCTATTAAAAGGCTCCCATTTTATTCATATACTCCACAGGCCCTGATTTCCTTTTATGTCGTTTACCCTTTCTATTCTTCCATCAATTTTAATAGTTTTCCATATTCATTTTCTCTATTCCCTCACCACCCATGCTAGTCATCCCACAAGTAAGGTTTCATTTAATTCCTCCATTACCTTATTTATTTTTCCTTTTATAGTAACACATTCACATAGTTCAAAATTCAAAAAGTGTATATATGTATACAATGCTTCAATAAATAGTTTTTGTTAATCCTCACCCAAGGATATTTTTACATTGAATTTTAGATAGAGTGGAATGGAGGGAGGGAGGAGAGAGAAACATCAAAATGAGAGAGACCCATCGATTGGTTGCCTCCTGCACGACCCAAACTGGGGCTGGGGATCAAACTTGCAACCCAGGTATGTGCCCTTGACCAGGAATCAAACCCGAGACCCTTCAGTCCGAGGGCCAATGGTCTAAAGGCTGGGCTAAACTGGCCAGGGCACAATAAAGACTTTTAAAAGTTAACCGAGCCCTGGCCGGTTTGGCTCAGCGGTTCGAGCGTCGGCCTGCGGTCCTGAGAGACCCGGGTTCGGTTCCCGCTAGGGGCGCGTACCTCGGTTGCAGTTTGTCCCCGGCCCTGGTCGGTTGTGCGGGTGGCAGCCACTCGATGTGTTCCTTTCACGTCGATGTTTCTCTCTCTCTCTCTCTGTTCCTCTCTCTCCCTCCCACTCTATCTGAACACAAAAAATGGAAAAATGTCCTCGAATGAGGATAAAAAAAAAAAGTTAACCGAAAAGATGTAAAAAGGAATAAACAATGAAATGTCTCTGCCACATCCCTGACCCCATTTACCACATCTCCAGAAGCAATTAGTGTGTCAAGTACCCCTGAAATCCTTCACTATTTGAATCTACTTGACTTTTTAGTTCAAATAGCTAGAGATTGCTGTTAATCCATTTTTTTAAATCTCTCCACTATATGCATTTACAAATATGTGTGTCATTCCCTCTCCCACCTTTTTACACAAATGTTAGAATATTTTATATACTTTTTTTAGTCTTGGAATTTAAGTAATTTATTTTGGTGATCATTCCATATCAGTACCTAAAGAGATTCTTCACCTTTTTTTTTTTTTTATAGCCACAGGGAATTTCCTTATATAAATATACCTTATTAATTAGTCCATATTGCTTCCAAACTTTTGTTATTATGAACAATGTTTAACTAGTAAAACGGCACTTACATCACATACCATTCCTGCAAGTGTATGTGAATAATAATAAATTCCCAGGAGAACTGCCTGGTTAAAGGATATATACATTTGCAATTTTCCTAGATGCTGCAGTATTGCCACAACTAGAAGCTGTGCCTATAATGTGCTCGAATATCTATTTCCCTCCCATTCTTACTAATGTAGTTTCATTACCAAACTTTTGAAACAAAGCCAATGAAACAACTGAAAAATACTACCATGGGGGTGGTTTCACGCCATCTTTCCATAAGGAAGAAAAAACTTTTTTTTGTATGTTTAACAACCATTTTTCATTTCCTTTTCTATAAATTGTGTGTTTACAACCTTTGCCCAATTCTATACTGAATAGTTGGTCTTTTTCTTACTGTTTACTAGAACTATTTACATAGTAGGGAAATGGGCCCTTAATCTGTAATATGAATTAAATTTACTTTTTCTCAGTTTGATGACTAATTTTTAAAAACTTTTTATCAAAGCATAATGTATGTATGAAAAGTATATGCAAGTGTACAACTCAATGCATTTCACAATATGAACACATATATACCCACATCAACACCCCAGATCAAGAAACAAAATACAGGGAGCGCCCAAAAGGCCCCTTGATCTTCCTTCCTGTCACTACATGTCCAACCCAGAGTAACCACTACCCTTGCTTCTTACTTCACAGAGTAGGGCATGTTTGAACTATATACAAATAGAATTATATCATATGTATTTTTAGTCAGCCTTATTTTATTCAACATATTTGTGAAATTCATCCACGTTGCTGTAAGTGGCTACACATCATTCATTCCTATTACTACACAGCATTTCAATTTATGAATAAACACAATCCATTCCATTGTTAATTTGAATTTCGAGAGTTTCTAGTGTACAGCTAATATATACAGTGCTGCTATAAACATTTTAGCATATCTCTTTTGGTGAATACATACACCCCATATACTGGGTATATACTGGGTCATAAAGTGTGAAAGTCATACAATTCATCTTCACAAGATACTGCCAAACAAGTTTCCAAAATAGTTGTATCAATTTATACACCCCTAGCAACACCTAAGAATTCCATTACCACTGACTTAAGTGACCAAGTCAATATCCACCGTCTAGTGTGTCTTTTCTAAATCAAGACATCATTAAGCCAGCTCTAACTGTAACTTAACTTCCAATTTCTGACTCATTATTTCCAACTACCAAATATTCCCAGCACAAACCACAATCATCCAAAATTCTACAATTTCTTCTGATTTACTCCATCTCAGTTAATAGTATTGGCATTTTCCCAAGTAACAGATCACAAACCTCAATCCTTTCTTGACTCTATTATCCACTGAACCCCAGTCACAAAATCCTAACCATTCTATCTCCACGTCTTTCATTAGTTACTTTCTTTTCATTCTCACAGTGACAACTAAATTTCTACAACACTCTAAAGAATAACCATCACTACCAGAAGATTTGTAGAGCAAGTTGGACAAGCAAATAGTCAGTGGTTTCCTACTGCTTAACAAATAAGCCTCAAATCTTTGGCAGGGGAGTCAAAAGCTCTACCTACTCCCTGGCCTTATTGTACCTCTCCAGCTTCATCTCCTAATCTCATATTGCATTCCCATTTCCATGTCTTGCATAAATGCCAGCCACATTAAACTATTTACCATCCTCAAAACATGCCCATATTTTTTTATTCCACTCTCTTTTAATTAATTTGGAATTGCTCATGCTCCCAAATATTCACTTGTTGAAACTCTACCTCAAAAGCCACTTATATGAAATCCTTCTGCTACTCATTCAAGCAAAAGTTATTTTTCTAAACTCCAAAGCATTTGGTTTGTGTTTCTGATGGTGCTGTTGTTC